GCAGCAAGGAGAGGCGATTATGATTCATCGGTTTCGACTAGTGAAGGGGAGCAAAGTGCAAGGCCAAAGCAAATTGAGGAATACAAAGTAATCATTAGAATGACACAGGAAGGACAATCGTTTGGTGAGTGGAGCCCTCTTAAACTGACAAAAGCCATCCATAAAGTTCTTGGGGAAGTAATAAGGGTGAAAGTTCTGCGAAGTGGGGCATTGCTGGTCCTGTGTAGGGATGGGGCACAGCAAGGGAAAGCAATAAGAATGAGTAGAATGGAGGGAAAGTCTGTAGTGTGCTCGATGCCAGAAGTGAGGAAAGTGGCTGTGGGGGTTATATCAAATATTCCCACGGCTATAACATGTGAAGAGATCAGAGATAATATAGAGGGGGTAAAAGTGCTGGAAGTGCAGAGACTAAAAACAAACAGAAACGGAGAGAAGACGGACAGTCTCTCTGTCAAAATCCGGTTTGACGAACCAAAGCTGCCAGATAAAGTATACATCGGATACATGTGCTATGACGTTAGGCCATTTATCCCCCCACCGCTTAGGTGCTTCAAGTGTCAGAAATACGGACATGTTGCAGCGGTCTGCAGGGGTAAACAGAAATGTGGGAGATGTGCGGGGGATCATGAATACGGTAAATGCCAAGAAGGGGCTAAGATAAAATGCTGCAACTGCGGGGGGGAGCACACCTCGGCGTATCGAGGTTGTGAAGCAGGCAAGAAGGCGGCAGAAATTCAGAAGGTAAAAACATCGATGGGAATATCCTATGCAGAAGCAGCGAAGAAAGTGGGGGCGAGCCATAGTGATCCAGAAAAGATAGTGAGGGCTGACGCCAGCAACAGAGTTGAAGCTAGTGGGTCTAAAGCAAAAGAAAATACACTTACAGTGAGTAAGAATGACTTTGTTTTATTCATGGTAGAAGTGATAAATTGCTCAGCGCAAACAAACAGCAAAACGGAGAAGATCAAGATTATTATCAAGGCTGCAGAGAAATACCTAGACATCAAGGGGCTTAGTTGTGAAAAGGTTCAGGAAACATTAGCTGGAGAAATGCTTGATTCGCAGACATGGGGTGGAAACTCCTCATGGTCCTAGCTATTCTACAGTGGAATGCCAGAAGTCTTATTGCTAATGGTCAAGAATTCAAGAAATTTATCGAAGAAAGGAGTGAAAAGCCGCAAGTAATTTGTATTCAAGAGACATGGCTAAAATCACAGTGGGATTTCACATTAAACGGGTACACGTCAGTAAGAAACGACAGAGAAGGTAGAAGCGGGGGAGGAGTGGCCACATTCATTAAAAGAGGAGTGAATTATAGGTTGGAAAAAGCAAGTGATGAACATGAGTCAATAGTGATACGGATATGGACAGAAAATAATAATGTGACAATAATAAATTATTATAATCCAGGGAATAGACTGTCCAGGGAGGTACTTAATGAAGCAGGTGGACAGGTGGCGGGGAGGGTAGTATGGTGCGGGGATTTTAATGCACACAATACTGTGTGGGGGAGCATGACAACAGATTTCAATGGGAAGATAATAGAAGAATTCATAGATGACTGTGAGATGGTATGTGTTAATGACGGCAGGGGCACTCGATACAACACCTCAAGAAATACTGAAAGTGCAATAGATCTCACTCTAATGTCGGCTGGGATGGCGGGAATTAGTACATGGGAAGTACTACAATATACAACAATGGGGAGTGATCATTATCCAATAATCTGCAGAATAGGAGTTAGCCCAATACAGGATAGCGAGGAAAGACCGCCAAAGTGGAAGTTAGAAAGTGCTAATTGGGAAAGATTCCGGGAGATCAGTGAAAGTACATTTAGGGAAATAGATGAGGAAAGTATAACGAGTGAGGAGGAATTTAATGAGAGAGTGGTGGGAGCAATAAAAATAGCAGAAGAAAGAACAATTCCACAAGTAAAGGGAAAGGGAACAAGGAAGAGTGTGCCATGGTGGAATGAGGAATGTAGCAGAGCAATCAAGGAAAGAAATAGAGCATTTAGGAATTTAAAGAGACATCACACACTGGAGTCATTGACAAAGTATAAGAGAGCACAGGCAGTAGTGCGCAGAGTTGTGCGCCAAGCTAAGAGGACATCCTGGAGACAGTTTTGTAATAAGATAGGACGAGAAACAAAATTGACAGAGATATGGGGAATGATTAGGAAAATGAGTGGAATTAAAACAAATCATGAAATCCCAGGGCTACGGGTCGATAACAAAGTGGTAGTGGGGAATGACAGAGCGGAGGTTCTTGCAGAGGCATTTGTCAAGGTGCATAGTTCTGCAAACCTAACGCTGAATGCTAAAAGTAACAGAGAAATGATGATAGGGAAATATAAGGGTATTAGGGATAAAAAAACAATATCTAGGGAGGGAATTAATGTACCATTTAGTATGTTTGAAATAAAGAGAGCAATAGCTAAAGCAAAACAGACAACACCAGGTAAGGATGGAATATGTTATGGAATGTTGGCACAGATGAGTGACAGAGCCCTTAAAACGGTATTAAATCTATATAATAAAGTGTGGGAGTCAGGTAAAATCCCAACCAAGTGGAAAGAGTCAATTATAGTTCCTATACCAAAACCAGGAAAAGATCAGTCAGACCCAGCTAGTTATAGGCCCATTGCACTAACATCTCAGCTGGGGAAAATAATGGAGCGAATGGTTATGGAAAGGTTAAATTACTATTTAGAGAGCAAAAACCTCATGTCAACGTATCAAAGTGGTTTTCGCAAAGGAAGAGGGACTATGGATAATATATTAGTGTTAGAATCAGAGATTAGGAAAGCTCAAGCTAATAAGGCAATAGTTCTAGCAGTCTTTTTTGACGTAGAGAAGGCATACGATATGCTGTGGAAGGAAGGTCTCCTTATTAAAATAAACAAATTGGGAATCACAGGAAATATGTACAATTGGGTATTGAGTTTTTTGTTTGATCGGAAGATTGAGGTGAGGATGGGCACTTATTACTCCAGACAGTACAGTGTAGAAAATGGGACGCCCCAAGGAAGTGTGTGCAGTCCAACTTTGTTTAATATTATGATAAATGATATCTTTGAGCAACTCCATCCAAGTGTAGGGAAGTCATTATTTGCAGATGATGGGGCCTTGTGGACTAGGGGGCGCAATTTACAATATTTACAGCAGAAACTGCAATGTGCGATTGAGAGAGTGGAACGGTGGGCTGATAACTGGGGATTTAAATTCTCAGTGAGCAAGACACAGACTATATGCTTTGCAAAAAGACATAAGGAAGTGGAATTATATCTATATGGCCAAAAAATAGAACAGGTCGGAGAAGTACGATTTTTGGGATTGTGGCTAGATGAAAAATTAACATGGAGACAGCATATAGACAGGCTAGTTAACAAATGTAAAAAAGTGAATAATTTATTAAAATGTGTATCAGGAAGGGACTGGGGAGCATCAAGAATGTCACTGTTAGGAATATACCAAGCTGTGATGAGAGCAGCATTAGACTATGGGTGCATAGCATATATGTCAGCTGCAGACACAAGCAAAAGAAAAAATTAGAGGTGCAGCAAGCACAAGGGCTGAGAATTTGTTGTGGAGCATATAAAACCTCCCCAGTAGCAGCTATACAGGTAGAAACAGGAGAACAGCCACTGAGAATCAGAAGAATGAAAATTATGTTGGCATACTGGACTAACATAAAGGGACACAGGGAGGATCACCCCACGAAGAGTTCCCTGAGGGAATGTTGGGAATACGAAAACAGTAATGCAGCCAGTTTTGGTAGAATAGGGAATGAAGTTGCGGAAAGGGCGGGTTTAAATCGAATTCAGGTATGTAAAACGGTTCCAGTGTCAAGAATTCCCCCATGGCTTTTTGTAATGCCAGAAGTGGATTTTAAGATCAAAAAACTTCTTAAGGCAGAGAAGAGACAAAGTACAGCTGGGTTTGTAGCCTGGGAATATCTGGAAGAGAGATATGGCAATGATCAAATAATATTCACAGATGGCTCAAAAGACCCAGATACTGGACGAACTGGGGCCGCAGCGTATATCCCTACAGAAAATATTAAAATAAAGCAGAGATGTTCAGACTATGTATCAGTGTATACAGTAGAGATAGCAGCAATAATAATGGCATTACAATGGATAAAAACTCAAGGGAAGGACAAATCAGTCATAGCATCAGACAGCTGGGCGGCTCTTTCAAGCCTACAAACCATGAAATCTTGTAGACTAGATCTAATATATGAGGTACACAGTAACCTGTATGAAATATGGGAAAGAGGGCTGGGTGTGAGTTTTGTGTGGGTTCCTGCCCATGTGGGAATAGTGGGAAATGAAGAGGCAGATAGGTTAGCAAAGCAGTCGTTAAGACAACAGGACATAGAACTACAAGTCAGGTTAAGTAAAACAGAAGGAAAAGCACTCATAAAAAAATACAGTCGGGAACAGTGGCAAGAATATTGGGAATCGGTAGAAACGGGCAGACATTTGTTTTCAATACAGAGACAGGTGGGAGAGGGAAGAAGGATTGGAAGGAACCGGAAGGAAGAAACAACATTAACACGGTTAAGGATTGGTCATACAGGATTAAATGGAACATTGAATAAAATAGGTAAACACACAGATGGAAAATGTCAACAGTGTGGGGTAACGGAATCAGTGCAGCATGTGCTGATGGAATGTGTAAGATACGAAGAAGAGAGGAAGACCTTGAAAGCAGAAATGGAGAAAGAAAAAGAATCATTTAAATTAGAAAACTTGTTAAAAGTGGACAGCAGGGCAAGGCTGGGGCGACTCATGGATTTTGTGCGGGATACGGGGTTAAGGAGTCTCCGTCACTAAAAGGTTTTAGTCTGTAACTGCTTAATCTCCTGTTCTACCGTAGATTCAGTAGGTGGCGGTAATGCTCCAGACACTAAGGAGTAAACTGCCATAAAACCAAACAGAAGAAGAAGAAGAAGAAGCCGTGACGTAGCCGCGTTCTCCTCTTCCACTTCCGGGTCCAGCGGAGTTGTTGTAATAATGCCTCAGTGCAGTGTCCCTTGCTGCTCTAACCGATCAGAGACAAAAACAGCCACTAAACTATCGTTCTACAGATTTCCTCCCAACAACAAAGACAAGAAGAGATGGCTGCAGTTAATAGTTAAGTTACCATTCAAGAAATACATAGAAAATCGAAGTTTAGCGCTAACGCTAACCCTTGTTCAGAGTTTGCAGACTAGCTACCCTCGGTGTTATCGAAACTACCGTGACATACTAGACATATATTTCTATTTTTAGTTCAGTCAACCGACTACAAAAGTACCATCCGCCTCGAGGATCAATATATGTGCTTTCCTTATGTTTTCTCTGCTCAGCAAAGCTGTAATCAGCGTGTAGTGGAGGGTAAACAGCATCGTTACCCACATCTGTATTTACTACTACAACCCTGTCTGTAAAGAGATTATATCAGTTACTGTAGGTATTATGTCAGGCTGATTATGTCATTATTTCAGCTACACACCAGGACAATCTGCATTATCTTAAGCATTGCCAAATGTTCAAATTTCTAGGTCTTCCCCTGACTCTCTCGGTATACAAATGGAACCAAATGAACCCACATTTGGTTCCATTTGTATACTGTTAGAGTTACAGACTTGTATGGGTCGATTTAGACCCTCATAAAAGTCCCTAGGATCCACTTAGACAACCACTGACTAATACAGTCTGTAGGGTATACTATGCTGATATAACTTATACAATCTTTATGGTAGAGTATGTTAACACAATGCAAATTATTCAATTTTGATAGTTAATGTTGTCTCCCTTTTATTGAGACATTTAGATTGTGTCAAAGGTAATGTCTCCACCAGAAACAGGATCTGAGTCTGACACCAATCTTGACCAGATGGTCAAGATTACATTTATCCCCTGAGTGAGCAGGATGGCTCTTTTAGGTCAATGGTAAAAATAATGCCAGTGCTTGTGCAGTAAACAATGGTTCAAATCCATTGCAGCTGAGGAAAGTAACAGTGCAGCTTTAAGTTTTCATTGCCAGTAATTTGCTACACTGTAATTGTTGTGCACAAAACTAACACATTTGAAATATCTTGTCCCCTTTCTATTTACAGGCGTGACGACTTTACCCCAAACTGCAACTCAAGGGTGTGCAGTTGGCATTTCCCGGATGGCAAAGCTGCTGGCCCATCAAGGTTTGCTTGGAACGAGGGGAAGACTTTCCCAGGTCACCTCAGCCATCCACCCGAAAAGAAGAAAAAAGTGGTCCCACTCCCTACCAGTGGTGAAGATGAAGGGACAAATGAACTTGAACTACACAATGCTGACATAGCAACTGCAGAGACCCCTAGTACTTCAGAGAACCCTTCTACTACAAACAGTGTTGAGGTGCTTGAGATAGAGGTTGATATGTTGAGAAGAGAGAACGAGAAATTGAAAAATGAATTGGAGAAACAAAAACAAACCTTTTCCTTCAGTCAAATATCTTCCAATTCTGACAAAGTACGATATTTCACTGGCTTACCTGATGCTGCTACCGTCCTGTTTTTGGAAACACTTTTATCTAAGTTTGAGCTAAAATATCATTCTGATTGGACAGTCCAGTTTATGCCACTAGTTGATCAGTTGCTCCTGACCTTGATGAAGCTTAGACTTAATTGTGGTCATTTAGACCTTGCAACCAGATTTAATTGTAGCACAGCCACAGTAACCAACATTTTTCTCACTATTGTCAGTGCCCTGTATGACATTTTGTATGTTGGTATGCTTGAGAACAACATCCCCTCCACAGCCAAGAACCAGACATCACTGCCAGAGTGTTTCCGTCCATTTCCTAATTGTAGGATTGTGCTCGAGTGCACAGAGGTTGCTGTCTCCAAGACAGAGCGGCTTGACACACAGAGTCATCTATACAGCCAGTACAAAGGACGGACCACACACAAGACTTTAATAGGTGTGGCTCCTAATGGAGTGATTACATTTGTCAGTGACTATTATGGTGGGAGTGCCTCAGACAAGGCAATAACAGCAGATTCTGGAGTTCTCAACCATCTAAAACCAGGTGACATGGTGATGGCAGACAAAGGCTTCACAATCCGGGACATCTTGCCGGAAGGGGTTTCGCTGAACATCCCTTCTTTCCTTGTAAATGGACAGTTCACACAAGAAGAAGTGAAGAAAAACAAACTTAGCTCCAGTGCTAGGATCCATGTGGAGCGCTCCATTCGGAGGTTGAAATTATTTAGCATTTTGGACAATATCCCACATCAGTTCACCAAAAACATTAACAAGATACTGAAAGTGTGTGTGTGTCTTACCAACCTGCAAACACCAGTTCTCTGTGAAATTGCATGACATGGCTGAATATGACTTGAGAAAAATGTACGCAGAATCAGATTCATGTCTTAACCTTCAAACATTTAATAAAGTGACACTGCATTAAGAACACTGCTTCTTTTTATATCAAAACACACTGGTAACAAAATGTTTAAAGTGCAAAAGCTACTGTAACCATTAAGTGTAAAAACTACAAGGCACCATAACAGAGCTTAGTTTTCTTAAAAAACATTTAGCAGCTTCACATTGTACTAGTATTACATCTCGTGAATAGTGCAATGTTTACAGTGTGGACAACTCTGACAGAATTTTTGGTAGGAAACAATCTTTGTAAAATGTTTCCAGGATGTCAATGTTTCTAGCCCAAGTTGGGTCTTTCACCACTGGCACAAGGACAAGGTCAGCAAGGGTCCATACAACCAGGTGGCAAGTGCTGGCTCCAGTCAGGTGTAGGTTGCCCTGAATCTGATGCCAGTAGTGATGAGTTGGTTTTAGTGTCAGGGAATCAGTCGCTGCATCCAACTGCAGAAAGAAGTCCCTTTTCTCTGCTGCTGCCTGCCGGACTGTCATATTTTTTGTTGACCAGGGACATTTGACCTAGAGGTGGGTGTTATGAAAAACATATGACCATTTTTTTGTGTAAAGACAGGTAGTAATAAAGCTAAGCTTGTCCATATGACTTCAAATAAATATGTATTATTGAAAATAGCATTATCTACAACAGGGTTTCCCAAAGTGGGCACCGTGAAGCCAGCCCAAGGGTGCCTCAGAATAATGTGACACTACACTGCTCAAAGAAATAAGGAGAACACTTTGTTCCCTTACTTTCTTTGAGCATTTCTGTGGTGAACAAAAACAAACAAATTTTGGTGAACAATATAGTTTACTTATCTTTATAGTTATCGTGCCCGGTGGGATTTGAGATTAGGGTGGCCCATAATCTCTGTTTCAGTTTTATTTTCGATTAGTTGCCTAGTATACTGTATATTGACTAAATATAACATTACCTCAATAATGCACTCATCAGACACTGTCCCATCTGGAGATCCACCTAGCAGGCCACTGTTTGACAGGAACACCCCCCTCTCCTGGACAACATCCCCGGCTTTCTCTGTGTATTCCTGCTTTGCCTGTGGTTCGTGGGTGATTCCCCAATCACATGCCTTGAGAAAGTGAGGGAGGGAAAACATACCACTCAGTTCATAAATTACTTGTTAGAGTCAATGACATCTTAAGTTGAAATCATTATTTCATCATTACTTACTTTAGAAGCTTCTTTGAAGTTGTACTGGCCAAGCAGGGTTTTGAACAAGGAAGGTGGGTACCGCTTGCGCTTGACTGCTGCCAAGACCGAAACAAAATTGCTAGCTGTGATTCGTTTCTTGCGATAAGCCATCCTGTTATAAAGACACCCAGATACAGTTCACATAGCGAGGCATCCTGTGTCTTTGATGTTTTATAGACACATTTGGTGCTCAAACTGCAGTATTGTTATAATCACTCATAAATGTTCAATGCTTTAACATTAACTACAATACTTTGTTAATATAGACCAGTGGTTTTCAACATTTTTCATATCAAGGCCCATAATTCATGCAGCATCTGAGCCACAGAACCACCGTTTGATGACATTTAGCTTCTTTGACTCAAATTTTGATTTTTTTTTTATCATTGGATAAGATTTTGTCACAATTCCATCATGTATTTATGTGTAAGGAGATCTGGTTGATCAAAATAACAACTATTCTAAGATCTCTAATTGTGTAGACTTCTTGTAAATTAACTAATGCAGATGTTTAACAATAATTTAACTCTTGAGAGTGTAAAATGAAACCGTACGACCCCATATGGTTTCATTTTACAATCTCAAGACATTTTACACACCCTATGAGTTACGGATCGCTAATGGTCCATTTGATTACCAACTCTCTATCATTTAGCTGGGGACCACTGATTGAAAACCACTGATATAGAACTAAAAGGCTAAGTATTACAGAACTTCATAATATCTGGAAACCAACAAACATATTTTACTGGTCCTCTAGTTTCTTTACAGAGGTTCAAGAAATTGTGAGGAGTCTAGTATTGTATTGTTAGTGTTACCATAAGTCGTTCTTTGCTTGAAAAACGGTGTCTCTCTCAATCTGCTGCTTCTCCGCATCAGTGACAGCAAGCGATGACAACACATATAGAGCCTTGTCCTCAGCTTCAGTAAAACCTGGACAGACCACCAATCCATCCCATGTCTTGATAGGGGGTGTCTTTATTTAAAGTTAAGCACACAGTTCACGCACACATGTATTATTCAACATTTATATACACATTATACACACACACTGTGTTCTTTTCATCATGTCAAATTGGTCATGGGCCTAAACAATTTGTTGATTTAATTAAAAATTAGACCAATTTGAGTATGTTGGGATGATTTTAACCTAGCTGAATTGTCACCGGGGCACCAAAAGAAAGAAGGCCTACCTGAGCTGTCTCTGGACTCAGGATCCACCACATGCCAGTAAAACGACCGAGCTGTGACAAGGATGACACAGTCCAATCCTTGACCTCCTGGGTTACAGGTGTTTTGATACCAGCTGAAATGACAGTATAAATGCATCGTCAAATTATTCATTCTTTTTGATTGTGATTAAGACTTCTTAATCACAAGTAAGAAAGGACACTACTGTATGTACACTACAAATTATGCAATTTAACTTGAATTACTTACCTTGTGATGTGGATGGTGTCATCACAGACACTCTCTTGGCAAGAATATCATCTGATTTTGGTGTCTTCGCCCTCTTCCACACACATTCCACATCTGTGCGGGACACATTTTTCTCCACCCAAATCAACAATGCTGCCATGTGGTGGCATTTGTCTTTGCCGATCGGACATTCGCAGCTGCTGTAGCTCACCTTCTGACTTTCTACATGCACCTGTAGTGAACACGACTTGACCCTAACACCAACCTAGACATTGCTGTTTATAGCTTACCATAAATCAGTAACTAGCAAACAGCCCAATAAAATAAAGATGGAGAAATAAAATAAAATAAAGCAATGGCAGTCTTTATCCAAGGCTAATGAAACGCCAAAGAACGTGGCATATAACATTAAAAGCCAGAATGCCTAACATTACCTAGCTAATGCTAACCCTATCAGCTCACTCACCTCAGCCTGGTATATTTTCTTTTTCATGGACGCTTGGATTTTACCTTTAATAATGCCCCCTGGGAGAAAATTTACGTGAATAACTCTACCCGAGTTGAAAGCGTTAAGTCCCTTTTTTACTCTGAGTGGTTCCTTTCTGAAAAAGGAGGTTATTGTGAAGAGATTCACAGGTTCCGCCATCGTTGTTTTGAATGGAAAGTGAATGGAGTCTGATTCCCCATGGACCCGGAAGTCGCTCCGCTCACAAAATGACGTCACGCTTAACAGCCGCATTCGTTCAACACGTTTTTTAAGGTATGTTCCAGGGATTGCATTCCAAGCTCTCTTAAGTTCATTAAGATTCGTGAGACGTGTTTTTCTGACCGATTGATTCAATTCATCCCGCACAAGCTCAATTGGAGAAAGGTCTGGAGACTGAGGGGGCCAAACCATATTTTGAAGAACACCTTCCCCTTCTTTTTTGTCTAGGTAACCCTGACAGAGATTGGCAGAGTGCTTAGGGTCATTGTCTTGCTGCAAAACAAACTTATGAGCCACAAGTCTGAGTCCAGATGGAACAGCATGGTGCTGGAGGATGGAGTGGTACTGTTCCTTCTTCATGATACCATTTACTTCAAACAAACCTCCTACTCCATAACCTGCAAAACATCCCCATACCATGGAACTACCACCTCCATGCTGAATTGTGGGTGTAACACATGGTGCTTTCAGACGTTCACCAGTTTGTCTGCGGACATAGACTCTGCGTTTTGAACCAAACAGTGCAAACTTGTTTCTAGTCATCACAAGTCCAATTTTTATGAGCTTTTGCCCACTCATGTCTCTTTTTCTTGTTCTGTGGACAAAGTAGTGTTTTTTTTGCAGATACACAACCCTTCAGACCAGCCTTTCCCAAACGTCATTTAACGGTTGTCAGCGATATGGGTTTCGACCTTGTCATGTTGATTTCCTCCCTTATTTGTGGTGCTGTCTTTTGCCGATCTCTCTTACTGGTGACAATGCTATGTTTATCCTCTGCTTTTGTAGTAACTCTCTTTTGTCCAAGTCTTTTTCTATCATCATAAGTTCCAGGTCCCTTTGGTCTCTTCAGAGTGTAGTGGACTGTTAAACACCTGTAGGCGTTTTGCAATTTCTCTTTCTGTGTATCCTTCTTTTCTCAATGTACAAATCTATACTTTTGTTTCTTTACTCAGTTGCTTCTCTCTAGCCATTTTTGCAGTAGTTTGAACACAGTTGAGATTTATTAGGATTTTTGTATGCAGACTCTCAAAAGCCGAAAAGTTGAAGTGAATAATCCAACTGTGATTTGTTTTTTTGCTTTTGCAGTGAAGTTGTGACTCTTGCAAATGTTTTCAACCCCAAAACTAAGCCCTTATTACCTTTTGCTGACATATATTTAGCAATGGTCTGTTAACATCAATGTATATCTAAAGGTAAACAGAGTAAAATGGTGCATTTCCATGAAAGTAACATCTAATCATGGAGTAAATACATCCCAAAATACATAAAACTCCTGCTGGATTTTGAAAAAAGCATTGTGAACAAAAACTTGAAGTTACTCCCAACTGTTCGGCTTGTAATGGCCTTGCTTCCAAACGTTTGGCCTGTAGTGTACACTATATACATAAAAGTGGCAAATATTGTTAAAAAAATGTAACAAGACAGCACGAGAACAGAAGAATTTATAAAATATTGAATAAAATATAGACTAATAATCTTACATAGCAAATCACACAAATTTGAACACACTAAAGAAAATGTGATTGTTCTATTGCCTTCCTTGATGCAAAATTATCAATAATCTCGTCATAAGATATCCGCTCCCCTATTAACCCATTAAGACCTGAACCCTGTTTGAGCCACACCTCTGAAATCCTGAGGGCAATTCTGAGAAGGGCCCCCAGATCCTGAGGTTTTCTGAAGTGTTAAGGTTTACAAA